CATTGTAGGACATACATTTATAGAAACTTTTTTACTTATTTTTATTGGCAGAATATGATGCCGAAGTTTCCGGAATATAGATCGGACCACCCTGTATATTTGTTGAAATGAGAGTATGGAATGAAATTTCAAACTTAAAACCTGATACAAAGCTTTTCCAGTACATAGGGTCACCCTGTATATAACGATATTGAGAGGTATTGAAATATTAGCATTCAAATACCGTATGATCGAAAAAAAACGGCGTCAAAGACGGCTGGGGAATGAGAGTCGATGATAATTTTGGCGATGTCAATCTTTAGACGTCATTTATTAATTGATATAAAATCGTTTTTACTTAATATAAAAGTAAAAATTACAGTAAATGCTATAAAAAATAAAGAAGAGGACGGGCCAAGTAAATGACATCTAGGCCTTTGACGTTGTTTTTTTTTTCGGTCGTAAGGTATTATTTTAAATGTTAATTAAATTAAATATATATTAAATAAAACATATAAGCATAAAAAAATGAATTACCTCATGCCAAGTATTGCTCCATGTTCATTTCACTGCCTAACACACTCACTTTTTTACGCGCAAACTGTTCTTCTATTCAAAAACATTTTAGATCATATTTATTTTGATTTTTTCATCAAACAAGAACACCAACACTCAAAAGAAATAAGCCGACATATGTTTAGAAATTACAGAAAAAAGAAAATTGAACGCTTATTACAAGAAAAAAATAATAAAAAGCGCTAAAAAACTTGTATAATTCAATTTTCAATCCATTTCAATCGTTATTTTCCCTCTTCGACCGATGTTCGCGACGAAGAAAAAAAACAACAAAATCTGACTCATATTTAAAAATAAAAATCCATAATTATAATATTAAAATCAGTTGCGTATTACCATTATTTGCCTCCGTGTTTTAACAAACTGGCCAATAAGGACGCGGGAATGCGCGATTAAAAACACGATTTTTTCGAAGTTTTTCACTTATTTTCCCGTATTTTTCTAGGTTATGGCCGAATTGTGCGCGAGATAATACGCGGAAAGCCGTGGAAAATCGAAATTTTCATTTGTTGACATTCTCGCTCGCTAAATACAAAAATACATAAACGGTCAATATAGGCTTTGGAAAAATAAATGTTAGATATGTGGCGCCATCTGTTGATTAGGTTCTAAAGCTGCGTAAGTTTTTTAGAAGAAACCTGTACGAGATTTAAATAAATTTTAATAATTATATTTAATTTTGGACATAAATCTATGGTGATCAAGTTTGTAAGAAACTTGACCAGGTTGCTTAGAATGTATTAATTTTTTTTTATAACATAGGATGCAATGTATTTATAGAACAATTAAATAAAAATGTACATTGTTATTTTTTCTAAAATTTACATTTATTTGTGAACGAACTATTGATTTTCAATTGAATATTTAATTATCGTTCGTAAAATTGTCAAGAAAATTATTTTTTTTTTCAAACGTCACAAAAAAGTGTTAATTTTTGGGACGTGATTGACAATATAAAAAAGTAATTTTAACGCCTAGGCATAAAAGTATTACTCTTACATTTAAGCACTAAAATACAAAAATATATTATTAAACTGACATAAAATATCAAATTCAACGAGTGTAATCATAGTTTCTCGATATATGTATTATTACTTACAAGGTATTACTTTTTTATATTATTTTCGACGTTTGAAATGGTTTGAAACTGTTTAAAAAAATACTTGTGAACGTTTGAAAAAAAAATAGCATGTTCTATTCGGAGAAAAAATGTACTTTTTGTGGTTCACGCGCCTGTACGTGTCAATTTTTTGTGTTTTTTTTTCAAGAACATATAATTTAAACTCCTAATCTAATGAGACAATATTCTATTTTACTATATTCCCTAAAAAAACAACTAAACAATATACAATATGAAAAAACGGCGTCAGCGATGGCTATGAAATGAATATCGCTGTCATTTTATATGTAAAATTATATATAGGGAATGTCATCGATGCTTATTCCAAGCTAATTGGACGCCGTTTTTTTTTCGATCATACGGTACTATTGGTGTAAATAAGGGTAATTTTTACGCCTAGGCATAAAAGCATTTTCACATTATGGTTTATTTGAAATTATAACATGACGGTTCATAACAAAAATGACTCGAAATACCAAGTGTGTGGTATCAAATTATTCGTAAAAAATGCTTTTTCCAAATATGCTAATGAGCCACCTTTGTTCTATTTGAAAAAAAAATGAGATATGATTAAAAATACGATTTGGGCATGTTTTAACCGGCCAGGATAAGATACTAAAAACATTAGATGATCAAATCTATTTTTTCAAGGCCCCTTGATTAAAAATTAGTATTTCAAACATAGCCATGGCCCTCTAGATTGAAAATACGATTGTTTATTAAGCGAAAATGTCAAAAGTTGACATATGATATGCCATTCTATTCAGAAAATGTCATTTTCTATCGAATAAAGTAAAAAAAAAATACCGAGGGTGCCATTTAAAAATAAAAAGTTGTAATAATTTCCGATGAAACAGGAAGTGACCAAAAACAATAATTGAATACGTCAATCAATCCTAATTTAGGTCATTTACTACCATAACAAGTCTCGTTTTTTTATCTGAAAAAATAAAAAAAAAACTTATAGGCGTAAGCCACTTTTGAGAAGCACCCGCTATACGTGACAAAAAAATTAAAATAATAAGATGATTTTTCAAGTTATTTCAAATTAAAAGAAAATTAAAAATCTTTTTAACCCATGTAAATGACTCTGGTTTTGACTCCTATTTCCATTCTCTATGTATAGCGAATTCTATCCATCATATTGGTAAAAGTTGCTCTCTAATCATAGTTCTTAGATCTGGAAAGGCGCACGTCCATACTTCTGGCGCCATCCAGTCGTTCAACCCCTCGAACGCGGCTGGACCAAACGGGGGTGGAACTTCGTAAGCTTACAGCTAACTTTTACACTGTAACTTCATTTTACAGGGTAACTTTGAGATAAGCTTTCTTTTACATCAGTTTCAGAATCTTATACATATTAGGAAAATTCGTTTATTTATGTCCTCTAATCAGTAAACGAGATCTATCGATTAAAAATATTTTCAATATGGCGGTACTTCCGGAAATACCGGAAGTTGACAGCAACTTTTTTATTTTAAATGGGTATCCCACTTTTTTATTACATGCCTAAATTCTTTGTAAAATTTTATGATTTTTGATATCAAACACTATATATCTAACATTAACCGTTTTTGAGAAAAAAAATATTTAAAATTTTTGGAGGAAAAAAACTCCCTGTCAAAAGAATTTGTATAGCCTAAATGTCAAATTTAGTGATTAAAACAGCCACTGTAACATAAAAAGAAGGCATATGGCTATCTATTTCAAAAATTAAATTGTTTGAATGTCATATAATATTGGCCGTAGCTATCAAAAAAAAATTATCAAAATCATTTTTCAAAAAATGGGGGTACCCCTTTAAAATACGAAAGTTGCTGTCAACTTCCGCTATTTCTGGGAGTGCGGCCATATTGAAAATATTTTTAATCGATAAATCTCATTGTGAAACAATGATGTGAGAAAAATCTCCGATCTAGGTATTATTGCTCTAGCATTGGCGTAACTACAGGGGTACCCGGGGGTGCCGGGCCCTCCCAGGTACTGCTGGGCACCCCCCAGAGAAATCTTGAATTATGACTCTTGGCTACGGATTAATTTTTATTTGCTTGCGATGTAGTAAAAATGAGGTTTTCTAGTTTTGTTTCGTTAATATTATTTTGTTGTGTTCAACAAAATGTGTTAATTTTTATTTTTTTAGAAAATTTGTAGGTACTTAAATAATCTACGGGAACGCGGGTTTGATAAGCAATTCTATGAAATTTATTGATAGAGTAATTCATGTAAAGGTTTTATTCAAAAAAATGTGTTTTTTAAAATTATTCTTCACATTTTAAAAAATAAAAGCCCTAGGCTCCCCCTAGGCTCCAGCCACAGGCTCCCCCAGGCTCCCCCCAGGATGAATTGCTAGTTACGCTAATGAGCTCTAGAAACTTCTAATGCACCGTCAGCCTGAGACACCCTGTATATGCTGTTTCTGCACATCGAAGCCTTATCAAAGAAACTGAGCTCTGCCTGTTTTGCGTTAAGATCAGTTTGTAAGGAACTTAACTCATCAACCTCTAGAATGGTCTATTATGCCCTTTTTGAGATCGTATTTTCAAACTTCAAAAGAGAGCAGGTCGATACTTATTGGGACTAAACAGTAGGACTCACTGCCAGAATTTCTTTAAAAATTTCAAAATACTGACTCTTCTTGCCTTATTCATTTTTGAATCCGTTTGCTTAATCCGCAAGGACATATTCTAATATTCTCTATTCCGGAAAGGTCTTCTCACAACTATCCACTTAGGAATGCGGAGCACGATATTTATCTGCCAACCCCGAGCTCAGAACTAGTTAAGGGCTCAATACTGTACAATGCCAGGAAAATGTACAATCATTTGCCTTCGAATATCAAGTCACTTTCATTCTTTCCCGCATTTCGCAAAGCTCTGAAATCATACTTACTGGAGAGAGCCCTATATGCGGTAAACGACTTTTTTGTTGATGTTTAATCATGAACAATTTTGAATTTTAAAATTTTGATCATCTCACACACTGGTTAAAGGTCTAGTATTTAATATTTTATATTTTATAACTCTTGATTTAATGATATATAACATGATTTTATCCATTTACAGTTTTCCTTTTGTAAAATTTTCTAGATACGCCTGTGTTCTGCAATATGTCCATATATGTTTTATTTGTAATTTTATGACGTAAATTTTTTGGAATTGATTTGTATTGTATGACATTTTCTTTTATTATTTGTATATTTGTTTTGTGAATGCTTTGTTGATGAAGCTGTTTTGGCTTTTTGTACAATAAAGCCTTGTTTTTTTTTCTATAGAAAATGGATGCGATGAGGTAAAGCCAACAACATACAGAATTCCACCCCCGATGCCAAAACTAGGTCTTTTACTGTAAACATGTTAAATTCGAAGATAGCGCCCAATAGCGATGATCTTCCAGACCTTAAAAATGTTACAGAAATGATTTAGTTTAAACGAGTCACAGGTAAATTCAAAGTGTTTGAATTTCTTCGCGTTTAGTTGATTTTGGAATGTTTAGACAACAAATATGTAATTGTCGGAGTTCAGTTATAGAGAAATGAACTGCCCAAGATTTGAATTGAAGTGAAACATATAGTGCGTTTTTTTTTGTGATTGGGGGAAAAAATGGATAAAGAGATGACTCAAACGAAGTTCTATAACAGGAGAATGACTGTTTGGTGGTTTTTGATTATGGTTATTAATTTTGTAAGTACGAGTTTGTTACATTTTATTAAAGTTTTTTTTTATATTTTTAAGTATTTCTTCTATGACATGTTATTTAGATACCTAGTGATAAACCAATATCTTAATATTCTAAAAACTGTTTTTCTGTAAAGTAAAAAAAAAATCTGACAGCCAGTGTATTAATAATTACAAAAAAAGCGTTTCTCAAAAGTGGTTCACCCCTATAACTTTTTTATTTTTTCAGATAAAAAAATGAGATATGGTATGTTAGGATATGTCATAAATCAGGATTGACTGACGTATTGAATTACTTTCGGTCACTTCCTGTTTCACCGGAAATTACTACAACTTTTGATTTTTAAATGGTATCCTGAGTATTTTTTACTTTGTTGATAGAAAATTGCATTCTGAATTATAAATAGAATGATATAACATATCTGTCAATTTGTGAAATTTTCAAAAAAAAAATAGTATTTAAAATTTCAGTCTAGAGTGCCATGGCTTTGTTAAGGAGCCTTGGAAAACTAGATTTGATCGTTTTATTTTTTTTTGGTGTCTTCTTCTGGTCGGTTAAAAGATGCTCAAATCGTATTTTTACTTATAACTCAATTTTGCCAAATGGAACGAGGGTGGCTCATTAGCATATCTTCTGGAAAAAGCAGTTTTTTACAAATAATTTGGTACCACACACTGGATATTTCGGTACCACACACTGCAAATTTTCGTTGTGAATCGCATGTTACAATTTCAAATAAACTATATGCGAAAATGTCAAAAGTTGACATATGATGTGTCATTCTATTCAGAATGTTATTTTCTATCGAATAAAGTAAAAAAATACCGAGGATGTCGTTTAAAAACCAAAAGTTGTAGTCATTTCCGGTAAAACAGGAAGTGACCGAAAACAATTGAATACGTCAATTAATCCTGATTTATGTCATATACTAACGTACCAAGTCTCGTTATTTTATCTAAAAAAAAATAAAAAAAAAAATAATAGGGGTGAGCCACATTTGAGAAATACCCTGTATATTATTCGATTTTCTTTTTCTTAATAATTCAGTCAAATATTTTTTACTGTATGCTGAGAAGTAGGATTCTTCTATATTATAGAAAAATTATTATTATTGAAAATTATAAGAAAATAAATCTCATTAAAACGAAATATGAAAAAGAATCAATTAGTGATTATTGATCAAAAAATGATAAAAAAATAGAGAAGAACCGGTTAATAGCGTATTAAAATAAAAAATGTACGTCTATTGACTTTTTGTTGATCGATTTCGCAAATTCCGTAATTAGCAGTGAATGCTTATGTGTTTGATTTAGGTCGTTTTGTGTTCTATTTCGTTGATACATGGTCTAATTTTTGAGTAAACAACTATCGATGTTAATCCAATAACGAAAAAGTGTCATTATTTTATTTGTTCTTTTCTACAGATTTTCTTTACAAGAGGATAACCTTTTATATAATTGACATTTTGATAAAAATGCATTCTTCATCAAAAATTTTGCCTGTTCTAAACTGGTTAATCCCAATTTTCCAATTTTCATACAGTTTTAGAGAAAATTAAAAAAAAAATGAAAATATGGTTCAATTTTCAAGTCCTAAAAATCAAAAGGATTTCTATGGTAATATAATTTCGATTTCATTCTTTGATAGATGCATTTCCGTAGCATTGAACTAAATAAACTTTGTGCTTCTCTTTGAATAAGAAGACTAAGGAAGGAGCATATCAAAAATCTTAGGTACACCGCGATGGGCCTCAAATATGGCCGACTTAAATTCCGGTTTATCGGTGTCGTTCTAATTTTATTTAAAAAATGTAAAACTATGATGTAGGGTAGACGTGGGGTAGACTCAATAATTTGTTGTTTTATTTTACGTTGTGAATAAATGTTGGTAGTTATTAAAATTGTTATAAAAATATATAATTCTAATAAAAATAGATAAGTTATAATAAGTATTTATTAACACAAACATCCGATACGCTACTGAAGCAGGTAAGTCAAATTAACGTATCTAAATTCTTTGACATCTAATCTTTGACAAGTAATAAATAAAAGCTAAAATGCAAGAAAAATATATAATTTAGTTAATTTAAGTGAATTTCATAAATGATCAGTTTACTACACGTATGTATATTATATAGTCACTTACTAGCGAAAAGTTGTTCCATTATTTCACTCAATTTTTGCCGAGATCTACCGCACGCTACACAACCAACTATTTTAGAGTTTTTTCGATAAATCGCGATAGTGTCACTGATATTTTAAGTTCTGCCACAATTTCCATCTAGATTTACTACCTTTATACAACTATCAGTAGTAGAATAAATAATAAATAACATAAAATAAGCTCCGTAAAGACTGACAGATCCACAAAATTTCAAATCAAATTCAAATGTGTCAAATGAATCGTCAAACAGAACTGTCAAGGATCCCCACCCTAGAGAGCTTTTATGGTGGCTTTTCCGCCCACCATGCATGAATACATGGATAGCACTATGCTCCTTCCTTAGTCTTCTTATTCAAAGGTGCTTCTTAACATTTTAAAACCGCAAAAATCATTAACAATCTATCAAAAAATGAAAAAGAAATTAGATTACCATAGAAACGCGTTTTGATTTATAGGACTAGGAAAAAATTCAACCATATTTTCATGTTTCTTTTAATTTTCTCTAAAACGGTATGGAAATTTTGAAAAGTATAAACGAGATTATGAAAAATGATTATGAAAAAAAAAATTGAAAAATATAAACGAGATAGCGTCCCTGCAGACCTCCTCAAAGCAGATCCTAGCACAGCAGCAGTCATACTGCATCCTCTAATTACAAGAGCTTGGGTATCTAACATCATCCCAGATGAATGGAAACAAGGTCTCATTATTAAACTCCCTAAAAAAGGAGATACCACTAACTGTGACAACTGGAGGGGTATTGTTTTTTTAAACACCATTCACAAGATAATATCCTCTATAGTTCATTTAAGGTTAAACTCCTATATAGAGCCTACTCTGAGAGAGAACCAAGCTGGTTTCCGACCGAACCACTCGTGCATTGACCATATTAACCCATTGCGCATTATCATAGAGTCAATAGAATTTAGGTTACCTTTATTCTTATTATTCATAGATTTCGTCAAAGCTTTTGACAGTATCCCCCATGCGATGGTATGGAAAACTCTAAAAGCAAAAAGGTGTTCCGGAAAAACTAATTAATATAATCAAGGAACTCTACAGAAACACAGAATGCAAAGTGCTGCACAACGGTAGAACCAGCGACAGTTTTAACTTAGGGACAGGAGTAAAGCAGGGTTGCACATTATCGCCGCTTCTATTTAATATCGTGCTCGACAGCGTTTTGACTAAAGCCACAGCAAACATTAGGGGAGTACAATGGACTCTGACATCGCATCTGACGGATCTTGATTATGCTGATGATATCTGTCTCACAACGCAATCCTTCAAAGACATGGAAGTGATGCTCAGACGGCTAAAAACAGAAGCAGACAAAGTAGGATTAAGCATAAACGTCGACAAAACAAAGTCAATGCGCATTAACACAAATAACAACACTCCATTCAATGTAGGAATCAAACATGTCGAGAATGTAACAGAGTTTACTTATCTGGGAAGTATTGTAACAGCAAACGGTGGCGCAGACGCGTATATTGTTAGCAGGATCAGGAAGGCGCAGCGAGTTTTTGGACAAATAAAATCAGTTTGGACCTCCCTTCAACTCTCCATAAAAACAAAATTAAGAATATTTAATTCCAACGTCATACCAGTTTTATTATATGGGTGCGAGACATGGAGAGGGACAAAAATATCCATCAAGCGTCCACAGGTATTTATCAATCGCTGCTTGCGGAAAATACTTAAAATCTTTTGGCTAGACACCATACGTAACACCGACCTGCTTCATCTTACAAACCAACAAGAAGTAGGATTAAATCCGCAAAAGAAAATGGGGTTGGATAGTTCACACCTTGCGGAAACCTGATAGTAATATAGGGAGATCAGCGTTGGAGTGGAATCCCCAAGGAAAAAGAAAGCAAGGACGACCTGCTCAAACATGGAGACGTTCCATACTGGATGAGCTTCAACAAGTAGGGTCAACATGGAAGGAAGCAAAAACAACTGCCAAAAATAGATCCCGATGGAGAGCTTTCACTGAAGCCCTTTGCTCCGCGTAGGAGATATACAATCCTATACAGGGTTGTTCACCACATACGACACGGAGTATTGTAGCTAAACGATTAGATTTTTACAAATTTTAAGTTTTGGGTTCGTTGAAGGACTATTAGAGCTACAATTTAGAAATAATTTTACAAGATACAGAGTGTCCCAAATAAGTAAAAAATGCTATAGTTGTATTTTTTTAAATGGAACACCCTGTATATTATTCTATTTTTAGATTCTACGATTGAAATAAAGGTAAATTTTATTAAGGTTTATCACACTTAAACCTTACCGTTTTTTAAATATTTTCAATTTTGTGAAATTGCAGTAAAAATTTTAAGGCTTCATTTCTCCAAGGGTATCAAAGTTTTTAATAGTAAATATTTACTGAAGTTTATTTATTGATCAGTTATTGTGTTGCAATAATAAAAATTATACTACCTTATACAGAGTGTCCAAAATTTTTTATTAAATAATTACTAGCTTTAAACGGCAATAACTTGTTTAATTTAAATGGAACGCCCTGTATATTTTACGTGAATCAGATACATAATGTAATTGTCTATCAAATTGTATTATACCACATTTTACCTATCCATTTAAGTTTTCGTAAAAAAATGCATTTTCTTATAATTTCGACCTCATTTATCAATATACCCATGGAATATTGACATTTTAGATTGTTTTTAAAGCAACAAATGTACAAAATGTACAGGCTAGTAATATTATCGTTTTTAACAAAATGATAATATTACTTGCCCATTTGTATGTAAAAAGAAAACTATTCAAAATCTTCATAAAAGAGTATACCATTAATTAAATATACCACCATTATTTCCGCTCAAATACTAATTAATTACATACTAATTATGTTCGTGAATAGATTATTCTAAATAAATGTGGATTTGAATCAGAAATCAATATAATAATAAGTTATAAAAATGAATGTCTGTGTTGTTACAAATAAGCATTTGTCAAAAAATGAAATATCATTTTTAAGGTGTTACTTTTTACCACACTGTCTAATACACATAAAAAATTCAGTTTTTTAGTATTTGGAGCAATTATTATTAACCAACGCAAACAGTTAATTAATGTAGTTTGAATAAAGGAATCATATTAATTGGTTCTCTTAACAAATATTTAAACAGTTTTTTTTTATTTATTTTTAATGAAATAAACAAACTATATCGACAATATTAGTATCTGTACTCTTTAAAAATTTGGTACATCTTTAAAAATAATCTAAAATGTCAGTATTCCATGGGTATATTGATAAATGAATTAAAATTACAAGAAAATGCATTTTCTACGGAAACTTGAAGCTCTAGGTAAAAAATGGTATAATACAATTTGATAGACAACTAAATTGTGCATCTGATTATCATAAAATATACAGGGTATTCCATTTAAATTAAACAAGTTATTGCCGTTTAAAGCTAGTAATTATTTAAAATAAAATTTTAGACACTCTATAAAGGTAGTATAATTTTTATTATTGCAACACAATAACTGATCAATAAATAAACTTCAGTAAATATTTAGTATTAAAAACTTTGATACCCTTGGAGAAATGAAGCCTTAAAATTTTGACTGCAATTTCATAAGATTGAAAATATTTCAAAAACGGTATGGTTTAAGTGTAATAAACCTTTATCAAATTTACCTTTATTTTAATCGTAGAAACTAAAAATGTAATAATATACAGGGTGTTCCATTTAAAAAAATACAACTTTGATATTTTTTATTTATTTGGGACACTCTGTATCTTGTAAAAATATTTTAAAATTGTAGCTCTAATAGTCCTTCAACGAACCCGAAACTTACAATTTGTAAAAATCTAATCGTTTAGCTACAACACTCCGTGTCGTATGTGGTGAACAACCCTGTATATAAACGAGATTAACCATTTTAGAACAAGCAAAAATCTTTATGAAGAATGCATTTTTTTCAAAATGTCAATAATAAAAAAGGTTTCCTCTTATTGTAAAGACAATCCAGACATATTGTATGTTAAGTGGTTAAGTAGCAAAACTATATGGACTCATTCTTATTAATATTTTTTAAACAAATATTAAGTTCGACAGATTTAAACAAAGTTTTAAGTACAGAGGGTATTCAATCATCAACTTTAACAATTTACAATTCAATTTCTATGGGTTTCAGGATTCCTAAAAAACTTTTCATAAATGTTTCAGATATTTGGAGTAGCTGGAATTATAATATGCAGTCTCAAAATCAGAAACATTGGAAATGAGGACTTCCAAATAGGATTCTTTAAATTATCAATGGGATTTGCCGCATGCAATCTCATACTAAGCGTTCTTCTTCTAGTCGCTGTTCTAAAGGTAAGTCTTATTTAAAAAAAATGTATTAAAAGAATGTAATATTTTTATTTTTGTATTCATTTTGTATAACTAAAAATGTAGTGTATAGAAAATTGTATCTAACTGACAGATTTTTAAGCTTTTCATACGTTTAACACACCAATAATTACATATAATTAGATATTCCTATATAAAGTTGTAAAGAAAAGTTCATTAGCTACTGGTTAATGGATTTTTATCGATGGATTTTAGACATTTAAAGAAATACAAATGTTTTATTAATGCCTTAATGGAACTGCTTTCCATTTTGCAAATTCTTTACAAAATAATTAGCATACCCGTGGTCTTTTAATGCCATTTATGTTAATTAGCAAACATAAAAATACCTGTTACAAAATAACATATACCGGGTGCGTCTCAAAAGTGGCTCATCCCTATAACTTTTTATGTTTTCAGTTAAAAAAAAACGAGATTCGGTACCTATGTTAGTATGTGACATAAATTAGGATTGATTAACGTATTCAATTTTTTTTGGTCACTTCCTGTTTCACCCACTGTTCGGTTTTTATATGATTCAAGGTAAAAAATATATAAATTGTAAAATTAGTAATTTTTTAATGGCCATAATGCGTTCTTTCAAAATCATCGAACAATTAAATCATTTCCATAGATCCAGTGACGTATTGTGACTTTGAATTTTGAGACCAAAAACTGAAACAATAATTTGTCAAGAGAATCATATTACAGTTGTATGTTTTATTTTGCATAAAAGTGTTAACTAATAAGTTAGAATAATTATAATTCTTCCCTAACTAAGTGGTTTTATAGCTAAATTTAACTAAAGCTAAATACAACACAAATCTTAAATACGTGGACTATTATAACAACAAATACATCGTAAAAGACTATTTTGGTAGCATTCTGAACTAGAATTCAAGTTTACAACATTTTAGAAAATAATTTAAAGGAAAAATGTTAATTCAGTTAATATTAATTTTTGTATACTGCTCAGATTTATCTGGTCTTCTATCATATATTTTGGAAATTAGAGAATTACCTGAAGATTTTCATCAAAAAATTGACATTGACAGTGGTGGTGGATCTTAAAGTTTGTCTGAATGTGCTCCCTGAAAATGATCCCGAATATTTCAAGAAATATAAAAGTGCTGGAATTAATAAACTATTCATAATTGGCTTAGGACCAAAGTTGTCTGAATCTTATGCTAACATTAAAAGTTTCTTTGAGACGTTAGATCGGCAGTCCATATGTGGAATTTGTTCCTATACTTTTGCTGCTGACTTTAAGCTTATTATGATTCTCCTTGGTTTTCAGTCAAATTCATCCACTCACACTTGCCCATGGTGTGATGTAAATGTAAAGGAAATGGAAATTAAAGGATCATTCAGAACTATAAAAAGTATTACAGAAAATACAAAATTTGTGGCAACAATCTGGAGGAAATATAACAAAAGCCAAAGATTTTAGTAAGCGTTTTTGTTTGAAATATTTTTTTTGTATTTTTTAAACTGTTGTTCAATGAACCATATAAAAAAGGGCAATTATTTTTTAGAAAACTGTATAAACATACCTTTAATCATTGGCGACGAAGAAACACCTGTCTTAAAGTATATTCCCCCTCCTGAGCTTCACCTTTTGTTAGGTGTGGTTCAAAAACTATTTAATTGTCTTGAATTGGAGAATACCAATGTTGCAACAGAATGGATAAAAAAAAGCGGGATTGAAACTAGATCATTATGGAAAATGTAACGGAAATAACGCCAGACAACTTTTAAAGAAAGTGGATATTTTGAAGACGATATCGCCCGGTACAGAATCCTATTCAAAGTTTTTGAAGCAAAAACCTAAACATCTTTTTTTTAGGAATAAGTATATTGCAGTGTTTTCTGCATTCAATCCGGCATTCAATCTGAGTTGTTTTGGTCAAGCACTAAACAAACATTTTGAACATGACATCGAACAATTTAGATTGGAAATACTCAACTTAGGTATTAAGATAACTCCAAAGATTCATGCAATTCTGCATCATGTGCTAGAGTTTATAAAAGCAAATCATAGAGCTCTAGGATTTTACTCGGAACAAGCATCTGCGAGCAGGTTCATTTTTCCTTTAAATTATTTTCTAAAAAGTTTAACTTGAATCCTCTTTCAGAATGCTACAAAAATAATCTTTTACGATGTATTTGTTGTTATAATAGTCCACGTATTTAAGATTTGTGTTGTACTTAGCTTTAGATAAATTTAGCGATAAAACCACTTAGTTAGGGAAGAAATATAATTATTCTAACTTATTAGTTAACATTTTTATGCAAAATAAAACATATAGCTGTAATATGATTTTTTTGACAAATTATTTGTCAGTTTTTGATTTGAAAATTCAAAGTCACGGTACGTCACTGGATCTATGGAAATGATTTAGTTGTTCGATGATTTTGAAAGAACGCATTATGGCCATTAAAAAATTACTAATTTTACAATTTATATATTTTTTATTTTGAATCATATAAAAACCGAACAGTGCACCGGAAATGAAATTGATATTGATGATAAAATAATATTTTGTTTTAGATATATGTCAAGAATGACATATATCTAAAACAAAATATTATCGATAGAAAATAACACTCTGAATAGAAATTCAGAGTGTTATTTTCTATCGAACAAAGAAAAACATTACCGAGAGTGCCATTTAAAAATCAAAAGTTGTAGTCATTTCCGGTGAAACAGGAAGTGACCGATAACAATTGAATACTTCAATCAATCCTTATTTATGTCATATACTAACATACCAAATGTCGTTTTTTTAACTGAAAATATAAAAAAGTTGTAGTGGGTGAGCCACTTTTGAGACGCGCACACTAAGATGTCATTAAAAGTAATTATTCAAATTTCAAAAAAATACAGTTTTATAATTGAAACAAGAAGGACCATTTAGGGGTGGGGGTAGTTTTTATCCTTCCCGTGTTTTTTCTTATATTATTTTTGTGAAAATCAAATGTTAAAGTGCTTAGCAAAATATAGGCCTCGCAAATCCCATTCAAATCGAAACTAGTTCTTGAAATATCTCAAAAATGTGTTTACATTTTTATATATATAGATTATTGATAAGTTGGATGCTTTCTAGCGGACAAACGAAGCACTTTTGTATACAGGTAAATAAATTGTGTCCAATGAACTTATTCAGATTCTGAAAATACGTAGTAGTTCTATGTCCACGGAATATTGAGACACTCTGTATATTATTCCTATGAAATCAGTAATGAAAAATGTAATGGTTTTTGTCAACAAGCATTTAAAACTTCTCTAGGTTTACCTATCCTCTTTGATTTAAATTTAATGTAAGTTTATAATAAACATTCTTTTTTCTTTTTCAGAGAGATCAGAAATATGCCTTCTTGTATGCCTTATTGATATTTTTAAGTCTGTTTGCCGCTACTATTCATATTGAGAGCACCACGAGCAAAAACGTCACTTTTATAATAATATTTATAGTTTTTGGTAAGTGTGTTATTCATGGAGAAATATTTTTTAACCAAAATATTATTTTTAGCTCTCCTATGTTTCTTGTGGTTCTGTGTCTATGGAACGTACCAGATATGGCTCAAGGATAATTTGGCAGAAAAAAACGAAGTTGAGCAAACTGTTGTGTGAACTTTTTAATTTTGAAGACTGTAATTATTTCTTCTGATACATTTGTATGTAAATTTGTTGATTTCTTTGCTGAGAGTGTTAATTGTAGGTAATAAAATAAAACAAGCAGTATTTCCAATTGATTTTATTTTAATTTTTGAGGACAGTTAGAGAAGTTAATTAATTAAAATTAATTGTAATTATACTTCAGGCACAAGTAGATAGAGCTTTTCTAACTAGTATATAGCTGTAATTCCAGCGAATAACCACCAACACGCTATAGGATCTACCGGAAGACATGCATCAAGTAGAAGCAGTCTTCCGGTAAATACACACGTATTCAACTGCGTATGGTTTATTTTATTGGAGTGCTCTATCTCCAATCAGACCTAGATTAATATAGAGCAGCTCTGGCTATCGATATGTTACACGTAACAGGTCAAGCAAAAGTAAAATTATGTCATGGATAATGGATAATATATATGTCTTTTACTCAATATTTATAATAATTTTTATTATTTATTATAAACTTATTATCAATCTCCTGATGAGTCGAAATAATAGATTTTCTAGCGTATAACAATTTAGACTCTTTTTTGTCTATACGCCTTCATTTTACACACCAAACTACATTTTGTTGTTACACCCTATATACACCGGGTACGCCTCAAAAGTGGCTCACCCTTATAACTTTTTTATTTTTTCAGATAAAAAACGATATTTGGTATTTTAGTATATGACATAAATTAAGATTGATTGACGCATTCAATTGTTTTTGGTTACTTCCTGTTTCACCGGAAATTACTACAACTTTTGATTTTTAGATGACACCCTCGGTATTTTTTTACTTTATTCAATAGAAAATGACACCCTGAATAGAATGACATATCATATGTCAACTTTAGACATTTTCATAGTTTATTTGAAATTATTGTAACATGCTCTGTTCATAACGAAGTGTGTGGTACCAAATTATTCCTAAAAAAATGCTTTTCCCAAATATGCTAATGAGCCATCTTTGTTCCATTTGAAATACTTAAGATATGATTAAAAATACGATTTTTTAATCATATCTTTGTGATATCGATTGGGCATCTTTTAATCGAAAGATAACAAGACACGAAAAACATTAGACGATGGGATCTATTTTTCCTAGGCTCCTTGATTATAAATTAGTGTTTTTAACACAGCCATGGCACTCTATATTGAAATTTAAAATAAAATATTTTTTAAGCCAAAATGTCAAAAGTTGACATATGATATGTCATTCTATTCAGAGTGTAATTTTCTATCGAATAAAGTAAAAATATACCGGGGGTGCCATTTAAAAATCAAAAGTTGAAGTAATTTCTGGTGAAACAGGAAGTAACCAGAAACATTTGAATACGTCAATCAATCCTAATATATGTCATATACTAACATACCACCTCGTTTTTTTATCTGAAGAAATAAAGAAGTTATAGGGGTGAGCCACTTTTGAGACGAACCCGATGTATATAAGTACCGTATGATCGAAAAAAATGGCGTCAAAGAGGGCATATCATTTACGTGGAAAAACGTTGAAAAAAATAAAACTGGTTTGGTATTTTTAAAATGTTTGTATAACTCAGTAATGTTCTTTAAAATATTTATAGCACACCCATGAATTGCTCCCTAACAGAAAATTTAGTTTCCCCCCTTATTGATGCCTCGTACCTACAGAACCGATCGACGTACTCTGTTAATTAGATCCTACAAATCATTTAATGAACTAGTAGCGCAAAATACTCTGTATATAGGTATATTATCCCTACTCGGAAACACGAAAAAAAATCTACTTGAGTCCACTTGGACAGTGGTTACAAAAACGGTGTCAATTTTCATTTCTCTTCGATCTTGTCAAGTGTCAACTGATAAGTTATATTGTTATTTATTTTAGCCGGTTGTGAAGAGTGTTTAGTATTTTTCTGTTGTATCGTTTATTAGAAAACTTTTGTTCTTCCTGTTGATGTAAGTTGTATATTTTTGAAATTATTCAAATTAATAACATAAATATGAACTAATAATAATACTTATTTGTTAATAATAAAATATACACATAAATATATGTTTTACATTTTTACAAAAAATACTATATATTTTACAATAATGAAAATTATACAATATTAACAATTTTATGGGGAGACAATTGAATATTCAAAACAAATTTTGAATAGAAAAATAACGTTAAATCCTAAATAAATAAAATAAATCTCAAGTATCTATGGAAACAGACAGAAAACAGACAGAAGCTAGGTAAGTGTTTAAAAAAAATATTTTTAATTAATTTTCACTAATAAATTTTTGAGCGAATAATAATTATTTGTTTTGATTCTTCAGAATATCTTTGTATAATTCTTTTTTGAAAAAAAAATTATCAGAATTTTGTCACTATTTTTACATTGAAAAATAATACCCTATGATCGAAAAAATCGTGTTAAAGAGCACTTATATGAGTGAAAATTGACATAAAACTTCTCAAAAATAAAAATAATTATAGAAAGTTCAAAAAAGGATAAAACGTTTCCAAGACCACAAATCCAACAAATCAAACAAATTTCAAAAAAAAATAGTTTTTCTCGAATTTTAAACAGTCAAAAAATAATTTTTACCGAGTATAAAAATAAGGCCAACTGGCAGTAAGCGCCAATAGTAAATAAAGAAGTCTAGAGCTTAACCTCACCAAAATTATCATCGATCGTCATTTCTCGGCCGTCTTTGATGCCGTTTTTCCCGATCGTATGGTATTTACTTGAATTATAATGTTAATTTTTATGAAATATTTTTTTAAGTATACAGGGTGTTTCAAAAAGCATGTGCCATCTATCGTAGGGAGAATCCTCACGTAAAAATAAGATTTATTTTTATCAACATAGGGTTCGGTTCTGCTTTGTTTCGTGGCTACAGAGGGTTGGTTAAAATATTTATTTACGAGAGATAGCACATGTTTTTTGAAACACCCTGTATGTGAAAATGATACTAAAACTGATACACATTCCGAACATTGTATTCTCCAGAACTAAGCAATACAGATAAAACAACTACGTTAAATTACCACGTTACGTTTAATTGAAATGTGTAATAAACATAATGTAAAAAATAAGCACTTTTTAATAGTTAATTGTTTATGGTGTTATAGAAATTCAAATCCATATTTGAAAAATGTTATCTACTCATATAGTGTTTTATACAATACAAGTAAATATCCTTGAAATGAATAGCTGAAAGGTGTAATTTTATTTACTACTAATAGCTACACATGGATTAATTCCCTTTATTGATTGCTATAAAATAACTAAATATTTCAACCTAGTTTTTGTTATGTTCCAATATATTAAAAAAAAGATACATCTGCCTACCTTCGGAAATACCCTGTATACTAATTGCTAATTGAATAACGTATGAATAGGACGTGGCATTTAAAAGGCCACAAAACAATTTTCTTGACAGATGAAGATGCTAAAGATCTGAAAGCAGCAAATTACAAGGAATAACTACCTTATTTTTTTAATTGATCTCCATAAAACGACAACATTTTTTTTCTAAACTTTCACAGGAAAATACAGTAGATCAGAGTAGTGGACATCTGCTTTTTGTGGCTTGTTTGCATACCTAAGTGTACTTTGGCTTGAAAGAAATATAAAGTTAATTCTTCTTTTATAATTTTATCTTTTAATCTTTTGTATTGGTTTTGGAATGAATATAAAACCAAAAATAAATTATCATTTATTATCAAACTTTGATTGAATTATTTTTTCTGTCTTTGTATAAATATTTATTATGTATATTTATTTATCATACTGTTCAAAACTTTATATTATTACTCATTATGATTAGTATTTGTTTGTGTTTTATAATTTAAATATCATGACCTCATGACTAACAAAATATTATAATATATCTGTCTTTTTATCTACATTCCCCATATCTTTCAATTTCCCAAAATGGACAAATTCTTCATATAAATAATTTCTTTTTGAAAAAATAAAAAATCGGTAAAAAAACTTTTAAGTTAAACGGTTTTATCTTATGTGCACTGAAAACTAGAAAATAATAATAACAATTAGGTATTTTGAACTTCTAGTTCAGAAATATTTTAGTACTAGGCAGAATAGCTTTTAGGCATATTAGACTAAAACAAAAACGTGGGACCCATTAACTATTGCTGTAATACTTTCTTCTATACTAAGTGTGGATTGCATCGACTTACTATAATCGTTACTGGAGATTTTGACAATCAATAACCAGCCGTGGCGGCTTCACCAGCGAACGCCGATCTACCAAAGTATAAAGATATGCTTTGCCATAGGTAGGATTTCAGAGGGGCCCCACGTTTTTATTTTAGTCTAATATGCCTAAAAGCTATTCTGCCTAGTACTAAAATATTTCTGAACTAGAAGTTCAAAATACCTAATTGTTATTATTATTTTCTAGTTTTCAGTGCACATAAGATAAAGCCGTTTAACTTAAAAGTTTTTTACCAATTTTTATTTTCTAGTTTTTAGTATTTAACGGAAATGCCTACCGAATATTCCTCATTCTATTTAATTCATTTAGTGCATCATTATTACATGGTTTTTTACCTGATAATTTATTACAATCTGACGCTCAGGTGTTTCTGACGCTAACAACTCTCTCCGTCTGTCGCGTTCTGATGCTAGCCTAGACTCATGACGCTCAGGTGTTTCTGCCGCTAACAACTCTCTCTGTCTGTCACGTTGTGATGCTAGCCTGGACTCATGACGCTCAGGTGTTTCTGACTCTACCAGCTGCCTTTGTCTCTCACGTTGTGCTATTAACCTGGCATCATGTTGCTCAGGTGTTTCTGTTGCTAACCGTTCTCTTCGTTTCTGTAGTCGACTATAAGTTTCATTTTCACTTTCTTTTGCACGTTTCGTTCTATACTTTTCTTTCGCCTTTTCGAGCCTTCTTTTTCGTTGTGTAGCAGTTTCGTTTTTATTTTTGTTTGTGTTTTTATTTATTGTTTCCATGTTGTTCCCACGAGTAATGGACATTTTAACGGTCGACCCCAGAGGTCCAGTAGAGGGGCAAAGCTATAATATACAACAAGAGGCGCCCAATCTTGAGGGGAAACGCTTGCGACATTACATTTTTAGCCACCCTAATGCCATACAGTCCTCAGCACATTTTAACCTATTACCTTAACTTGGGTGGTAAAGCTACCGCTAACTACGTAGATACATCTAATCACCTATTTTTTTTATCTGTCCTTCTAACGTCACACAATCTTGGACACAACTGTTCTGGACACGACTGCTCATGCCCTCACCTAATACGCCATTTTGTAACGACGTCCATCTTGGATTTTAAATTTTGTCATAATCACAGTATTCTACTAGTGTAGCCCTTTCATTTGATACCCATATTGAGGGGGTTGTGGAAAAATATGAAATCCGCCATTTTGTACCGGCGGCCATCTTAGATTTACAATGTTATTGATATTACTATATTGTATTGTCATCGGAACTAAAGGTGTGTACCAAATTTCAGATCAATCTGGCAACAGGAAGGTACTTAAATTTCAATTTCTAATTTTGACCCAAATAAACAAACAAATAAATAAATACCCGTACGGGTCAAGCTAAATAAAACCGTTCAATAAAATTATTACAATATAAAATATTAAGCAAGAAATAAATAAGGTATTTGTAAATTACCAAATACTTGTTACTTATTTTCAACTAATATTAAATACAATTACAAAAGAAATTAAATAGATAACAAATAATTTCTTCTTTAGAGTTTGAGCGTTGTTTGATGAGCTATGATAGTATTCTTGTATGGCTGTTGTTTCTTGTTCTTTTTTATTAGGAGATAGGTTTCTTAACATATTCTCACCTGAAAAGAAAAATTAATTAACATATGTATGACAAATGACAAAATGTTGTGTATTCGAAGAATTATTGCAACTAACAAAGGTTGAATCACAAATATAGGTAGTAATAAAGCAACACAGGTGTAGAATAAAAGTAGAATTAATTGTTGTAAAAAATGACAAATACCCAGTCATTACATATACAGGGTGTTTCAAAAAACATGTGCCATATATCTCGTGGGGAAATTCCTCGTGTACAAAGATGATTTATTTTTTTATATCCGATTCTGCTTTGTTTCGTAGCTACTGGTGGTTATTTTTTCGATTTATTATAATAATAATTATAAGTGTTTTTAGCGATTCGAATGAAATTTTGAGGGTAAAAGTTACTATAAAGGCAACATATTTTAATGCTACAAAAGCTTCGACATATTCACAAAGGACGTGCATCTGTGTTACCACTGGAATATTTTTATAAAAAAAACATGTGCGCCACTGACTTTTTTCTCTTGTTAGCAAAATTGTGCTGAACCTATTCTCTGTGTAGAACGTTTAAAGTTGTCTCTCGATTTTTTGTCGATTTCTGTATACTTATAGTAACTTTTACAAAAATAAATCTTATTTTTACGTGATAAAGGTCGGCCATAAAGTCGTGCCACATCAAAGTTTCATTTTTTTAAATAGAACCCCCTGTATATTATTGCATATTTCAATTTTTCCTTCAATTCTCTGCAAAAATCGAGATACACACAACGTACCTCAAACCAACCGTTTCCGAGTTATTGACTTTTGAAAATATCACTTAACAAATTCGATTTAATTAATTTCGATGTGTTCGGTTTCATTAAACGATGTCATTCTGTGGAAACTATGATACTTAAAAATATTTGACGTTAATTTTCAAGTTAATATTTATAGATGTGATGAAAATGAGAATATATCAAGTCTGGAAATTACAAAATTTTCGTTTAACATTTCAAAACTAAAACTCGATATCTCGGAAACGGTTGTATTACAATTTTTGCCTAAAATTGAAGGAAGAATTGAAATACCCAATAATTTACAGGGGGTTCTATTTAAAAAAATGAATCTTTGAGGTGCCACGACTTTCTATCGAATAAAGTAAAAATATACCGGGGGTGCCATTTAAAAATCAAAAGTTGTAGTAATTTCTGGTGAAACAGGAAGTATAGAGAAACATTTGAATACGACAATCAATCCTAATTTATGTCATATACTAACATACCAAATCTCGTTTTTTTATCTGAAGAAATAAAGAAGTTATAGGGGTGAGCCACTTTTGAGACGAACCCGGTGTATATAAGTACCGTATGATCGAAAAAAATAGCGCCAAAGAGGACATATCATTTACGTGGAAAAACGTTGAAAAAAATAAAACTGGTTTGGTATTTTTAAAATGTTTGTATAACTCAGTAATGTTCTTTAAAATATTTATAGCACGCCCATGAATTGCTCCCTAACAGAAAATTTAGTTTCCCCCCTTATTGATGCCTCGTACCTACAGAACCGATCGATGGACTCTGTTAATTAGATCCTACAAATCATTTAATGAACTAGTAGCGCAAAATACCCTGTATATAGGTATATTATCCCTACTCGGAAAAACGAAAAAAAATTTACTTGAGTCCACTTGGACAGTGGTTACAAAAACGGTGTCAATTTTCATTTCTCTTCGATCTCGTCAAGTGTCAACTGATAAGTTATATTGTTATTTATTTTAGCCGGTTGTGAAGAGTGTTTAGTATTTTTCTGTTGTATCGTTTATTAGAAAACTTTTGTTCTTCCTGTTGATGTAAGTAGAATTTATATTTTTGAAATTATTCAAATTAATAACATAAATATGAACTAATAATAATACTTATATGTTAATAATAAAATATACACATAAATAATATAAAATTAAATATATGTTTTTACAAAAAAAAATATATTTTACAACAATAAAAATTATACAATATTAACAATTTTATGGGGAGACAAATTGAACATCAACAGAAATTTTGAATAGAAAAACAATGTTAAATCCCAAATAAATAAAATAAATCTCAAGTATCCATGGAAACAGACAGAAAACAGATAGAATCTAGAGAAATGTTTTAAACAAATCTTGTTTGAAACGGTTGTATTACAATTTTTGCCTAAAATTGAAGGAAGAATTGAAATACCCAATAATTTACAGGAGGTTCTATTTAAAAAAATGAATCTTTGAGGTGCCACGACTTTATGACCGACTCTCTATACTTAAATTTATTACAAGATGTTAGGCATTTAAAAACCGTATAACTTTTGTATTTAACTTTTAGCAAGACCTCGTATACTTTGCTCAATAATCGACCCTTTCCATACATATCAGCGACACTGTATAATTTTGCAATAAATCAGTTTCAATAACACAAAATAAAGGTTAAACGCGATAAATAAAAGAAAATATTATACCTAGTTCTTTAGTTTTCAAAAGCACGTTGTTCAATGCTGCCACTTTTTCTTGGATAGCGCTCAATTTGTCGATACCTTTCTGTCCTAATCTACTGGTAGCATTCCAAAACTTGGTTAGCATGCTGATATTTTCTCCTACAGTACTACTAACATTCTGTAAACCGGAAAGAGTATATTAACATAATATTTAATGGCATCATTAAACAATATATAGAAGCGTACAGGCCAAGTAATGACGTCCAGAGCTTGACCTCGCTAAAATTATCATTCCCCAGCCGTCTTTGACGCCGTTTTTTTTTCAAACCTAGATTATAGGTATTATATGAAAAAAAAACTGTAATAGGTAATGTGAAATACAGTTGCAACCACTATGTATATTAAATATTATAAATTATTTTTGAATATAAAACGTAACTCAAAAAAAACTTTTATTAACAAATATTGTTAATAAAGCAAACCAAACCAAAAACTTACCTGGCCGATTAGAAAAATACAAATCATAACTGAAACACACTTAAACATTTCTGAAGAAATTCTCACAGTGAAATATTTCGATAAACTTATAACTAGATAGTTAATATTTTATATAGCATAATCAATCACTGTCGAATAATTGCTGTTGTTCTCATAATTAATTTATTTTATGTACTTTCTGCTCTCTATGTAAATCCCAAATCTTATTTATAAGTTTGAAATTCCAACTGTAACAATTATTCCCAAAAGAATATTTAAAGAATGGTTAAACCATAATCTGTTGGTGTTATATACTTTAAAACAAAATAAATAAAAAGTCACTTATTATCGCGTTGCGGAAGGATAATACAACTGATGAATGAATGAATCAGAACCACATATATTCTTGGAATTCCACAATTCACACTTAATAATATAGGACATACATACCGGATGTCTCAATAAGTTTCTCTATGAAATACCACATCAAAGTCAGAATCTGCATTCTTCAAAGGCATAGATAAAAGACTTATACTATTAAATAGATAGGCAACTTATAATACATTTCAATTTTATTATACAAGGGCGCCTCTGGTAGATGGAGGAAGAAATACTAATGGAAGAGAGGGGTGCGGGGAAGGGGGGTTGTTTTAGTTAATTTAAAATAAATTTAGACATACATGTAAGAACACTTTGTGTGCTTTTAATTAGGTCGAACATATTATAAACGATAAATCAACTGAATTAAAAGCATACAAAGTGTTCTTATATGTCGGATATTAATTAAAAATATATTAAAAAGACTAGAAATAGTATATATTAAGTTGTTACAGTTATAATTTAATCTTTGGCGGCTTTCAGCAAATAGCAGGCAGTTTTACATAATTTTCCTCCCTTTGAAGTGAATTGGAAACGGCTATATAATTTTGGTGTAGGCAAGATTCCCAGTTTGTTTCCGTTTGAGACCTGAAATAATAAAAACAAATTAAATTAGATGTAATCATCTGCTGATCATGCTAATATAACACAACGCGCGTCCTTAATTCCTTACATGCACCGTAATAAAATTAAATAACTGCTCAGCAGGTGGCATTTATTAGCAGTACTAATTTAAAAATCTATAACTGTAAGTAGATATGTTTAATTTACTTACCATTGTATCCTTCGGAAACCAGGTGTACAACAATTAAACTCCATGATAAAAAATAATTAAGAGTCTATACAAAACACAAATTGTCCCACCATTTTTAAAAAAACATTGTCTAAAACAGAATACTGGCAAAAACTCTGAAGGAATTTAATTTTACAATAATTCGACAAATCAAAACGAAATCAAACCGTAAAATCACAACAAAAGCGTCTCTGAGTGACAGTTAAAAATCAAATTTTATTATTGTCAGATATTGACATTTGCATTGTTAATATTGACAGTTTTAATATTTTGCGCCTCTGCATCTTGGAGGAAAAACTATTTTTAATGAACCGTCATTTCCATTTAAGTTTCTCAGCCATGTTCAAAGGTATACTCTGTTTTTTTTCTCAGGTAAGATTTCGACAGACGATGACAGAAGAAAAGCAGATGACGTCCCATACCAATCTATTTATTTTACTAAAAAAAGTTTCTAATCATTTTTAAGTTATCTATGGATGGGTTTAAATATAAATCCGTCATACGTCGTGTCTTGTTGTTTTTAACCAGTTTTATTGGTTTATTTAAAAAATGACAGATCGTATTTCAATTTTATTGGTTTGACGGAACGATGAACGACAAACGGACGCTGATGCGTATGAACTCGCCTTTAGATTCTTGTCATTTTTGACGCTTGTCAAAGTCTTCCCAAATTATAGGTTATAATTTTGTGTCAACTTTTGTTAAATACCCTGCGTTTTGGAAGATGATAGATGATGCATTTTGATTCGTATTATTACGTGTGTTTTGTGTCTTTTGAAGTCAAGTGGAGGAAAAATCGAGTGAAAATTAACTGTAGACCCAGAGCACAGTTTATGGTTAATACTCGCTACCCAGGCAGAAAGTCTTATACACCAATGAAGTTGCCATAGTTAAAGTTTGTATACCATCTCGTCGTAGATAAGTGCATCTCATATATGGTAGAAGGATCAAACTAAACACATACTAAAAACTGGAGTAGCTGTAAAATATCGACATCACACGATAGGTAAATAATGGATTTTAGTACTGCAGAAAAATAATGTCAAAAGGTACTGGTTTAAGAAAATTAAGATTAAAGTTAATTAATCAACCTTTAAGGTATAAAATTTGGTAGGTGTTATTATTAATAAAATAGTTTGTTTTATTTACCTATGTTTTATTTATTCCTGTGGAATATTACAAATTTGTATTTGTACATAAGTTATATTGATAAATATAATCATAAATGCGGGTAGTTTCATAAAGCTTGAAAGTAAAAATTAGTTCTTTTTTTATATTTTTTTGGTATGTCCGTGCCTGTATAAAACTACTGAGTGAAGAAATATACATTTCCGTGATTTTCTACGTAAAAAATGTCTCTTTTTCATCGAAAAAATGATGATGAAACAGTTTCTGTTGAAGTTTTAGTACAAAAAGATTTCAAATTAATGATTTCAGTCTAATAACTATTTAGTCGACATATGTTTAATTAATATCAATGATGACAGGTATTGATAACTTCGATTCCAAATCTCTCGAGAACCATTCCTTGTAAGAGACCTTTTTTACGTAGAAAACGTCGTAAATGTATAATTTTTATTCACTGGTTTTATACAGGTACGGACGAAAAGTTCTCTTCAAAATAGTTAAAAAAATATGTAGGTGGCGCCCTCTTCAATTAGGAGTCATATTCACACGAAAATCAAATTTCTCATGTCAGGAAACTCCCAGACACCAATTTTCATCTAAATATTGACGTTACTTCAGAAATTATTTCGAAAAAATCGAAATAAAAATGAAACTACACCCTGTATCTCCGAAACTAAGCATTTTAAGGCATACATTTATACGAACGAATACGATTTTTTTACTTATTTTTATCTACAGAATATGCTGCAAAATAAAACACTAAATCACCACAATCCATCAAAACACTTACTTTTACACTGGACGCGCGTTTCGCTAACCATGTTAGCACCATCAGAAGATGATTATAAACTGGTTAGGTTAGGTTTTAGTTTTTTAAGTTTACTGGAACTGTTCGGAAGCAAAAATCGTACATTCTTACAAATGATGATGGAGACATTGTGTTGGATATTAAAGATCAATTAGAAAAATACATTGAAACCCTTTTCAACGACCAAAGAGAAGAAATTACTACCAGCATTAACAATGAAATGGGGCCATCTATTTTAAAAAAAAGTTTCCGGAATACAGTTCGGACCATCCTGTATACTAGCTGTTCCACACAGCTGTGATAAGTCAATTTCAAAATCTTAGGTTTTTGACGTAAAACATTTTCAGCAAGTCAAGACATTTCCGTAAAGGCTTATATTTTTTATTTAAATCATGATCTGCTAGTTAAGTCGGCAAAACGACTTAAATCAAAATAATTACGGTCAATAAGTCAAGATAACCAGAAATCAATCTACAGGGTTGTTCACCACATACGACACGGAGTATTGTAGCTAAACGATGAGATTTTTACATATTGTAAGTTTTAGGTTCGATGAAGAACTATTAGAGGTACAATTTAAAAATAATTTTACAAGATACAGAGTGTCCCAAATAAGTAACAAATATCAAAGTTGTATTTTTTTAAATGGAACACCCTATATATTATTACATTTTTAGTTTCTACGATTAAAATAAAGGTAAATTTGATTAAGGTTTATTATACTTAAACCTTACCGTTTTTGAAATATTTTCAATTTTGTGAAATTGCAGTAAAAATTTTAAGGCTTCATTTCTCCAAGGGTATCAAAGTTTTTTTAATACTAAATATTTACTGAAGTTTATTTACTGATCAGTTATTGTGTTGCAATAATAAAATAATACTACCTTATACAGAGTGTCTAAAATTTATTTTAAATAATTATTAGCTTCAAACGGCAATAACTTGTTTAATTTAAATGGAACACCCTGTATATTTTACGAGAATCAGATGCACAATTTAATTGTCTATCAAATTATATTATACCATTTTTTACCTATCTCTTTAAGTTTCCGTAGAAAATGCATTTTCTTGTAATTTAGAACTTAATTATCAATATACCCATGGACTATTGACATTTTAGATTATTTGTAAAGATGTACCAAATTTTTAAAGAGTACAGATACTAATATTGTCGATATAATTCGTTTATTTCATTAAAAATAAAAAAAACTGTTTAAATATTTGTTAAAGAGGATCAATTAATATGATTCCAGTATTCAAACTACATTAACTGACTGTTTGCGTTGATTAATAATAATTGCTCCAAATACTAAAAACTGAATTTTGTATGGGCATTAGACAGTGTGATAAAAGTAACACCTTAAAAATGATATTTCATTTTTTAATAAATGCTTATTTATAACAACAGAGACTTTAATTTGATAACTTATTATTATATTGATTTCTGACTCAAATCCACATTTATTTATAATAATTTATTAATGAACACAATTAAGTATGTAATTAATTAGTATATGGGCGGAATTAATGGTGTTATATTTAATTAATAGTATACTCTTTTATAAAGATTTAAATAGTTTTCTTTTTGCATACAAATGGGCTAGTAATATTATCGTTTTGCTAAAAACGATAATATTACTAGTCTGTACATTTTGTACATTTGTTGCTTTAAAAACAATCTAAAATGTCAATATTCCATGGATATATTGATAAATGAGGTCTAAATTATAAGAAAAGTTGATAGACAATTTAATTGTGCATCTGATTCTCCTAAAATATACAGGGCATTCCATTTAAATTAAAGAAGTTATTGCCGTTTGAAGCTAATAATTATTTAAAATAAATTTTTAGACACTCTGTATAAGGTAGTATTATTTTTATTATTGCAACACAATAACTGATCAATAAATAAACTTCATTAAATATTTAGTATTAAAAACATTGATACCCTTGGAGAAATGAAGCTTTAAAATTTTTACTGCAATTTCACAAAATTGAAAATATTTCAAGAACGGTAAGGTTTAAGTATAATAAACCTTAATCAAATTTACCTTTATTTTAATCGTAGAAACTAAAAATGTAATAATATACAGGGTGTTTCATTTAAAAAAATACAACTTTGATATTTTTAATTTATTTGGGACACTCTGTATCTTGTAAAAATATGTTTAAATTGTAGCTCTAATAGTCCTTCAACGAACCCCAAACTTACAATTTGTAAAAATCTCATCGTTTAGCTACAATACTCCGTGTCGTATGTGGTGAACAACCCTGTAGATTATTCTCAATTTTCTTGTATTACCAATTGTCGATTTCCTTATTCCTTATTTTAGGTACAAATGAGACTAAAAAACTACTGAAAATAAAACGGTTTGTTGAAGTATTGATATTTTTGATCTGCTTCCGGGATGTCGAGCAGACAGTTTTAAAGAAAATGCTGCTGTTAAAAATTTATCATAAAAATTATGTGAACAATTTGACTTAAATCTTAAGTAAAAAGACTTAAATAATTTAAAACTTGACTTGGTTGGCACAACGACTCATACTTAAGAAATAGAGAAATATAGTATACAGTAATTACACCAAAGAGTCGCAACAACTAGGATCATTTTTATTGACATAAAATTAGGAGGAGCAATTCAAGCTACATATAAAAGTAAAGTTTTGTTCATTCAAACTTATGGCCGAGGTAGGTAACCGAGGTATTTCATATTATGTCTCAGCAGAACTGAGACACCCTGTATAGAGTATTGAGTTGCAGCCACACTGTTTTTGCAATAACTAAAGATAATATTAGTCATTAAATTATATGACTAATGTAATGCTGCCATACTTTCTTTACTATAGTATTCATCAACAGCACAAAATAATGAACAAATGTTTTAACAATTTTTCAACCCGTTTAACAAATATTTACGAGAATAAATAAACTTCATAAATTATTCATAAACTTCTGACATTGTTTTAATTATTTTTAATTATATCCTCTCTCGAAATACTATCATAGTATAAATTTTGTTTTTGTCAATGTTTTGAATGATTGGGCCAGGCCAATAATCTAACACATTTAAATTTTTAAAGATTTCTATTTTTTTGCAATAAAACAAAACAAAATTTTTAATAAAATTAGGTTTATTATTAGCTTTTGTATAACTTTATATAAAAAATAAATTATACATATTAAAAATCAAAATTTTATGTTAGTTTTAAAGCAAATTAAAAATTTTAAGCGAATTAATAATACCTAAGTAGTATTACTTGTTTAAATTTAACATCCATTTTGTATTTTACCTACAAAAGCTACTACATTTCCTACTTGGACGTAGTACAAATACGGATGATCGGCTTCGAATTTGTAATCTGCAGGCGGGGGTAATGATTCGGCTGTCAAAACTGTCAAATAGAACAAAAATAAAAACAAATTAATTATGAAAAAATAAAAATATCAACCATGCTGTTATATTTTACTTAATGTTAATATAAAATTGATCTAATCTACAAAGAATAGGAAATTGCTTAAAAATCTACACTACTTCAACTACCAAGAAATTAATTTAGATATTATCACAGAATATATAAGTTAGTCTGTGATATACAGATATATTAGAATTTAGAATGTTAGTATTAACTTACCTTGGTGTTATGATGTTAAATAGAATAGAATTTTTCATTGTCTAGTCGCCATATTGTAATATTAGATAGCTATCATTCTATATACAGGGTGCGTTAAATAAAATTGCACACTACAGGGATCTCGAAAAGAAGAAGAGACACACAGATCATTAAATTATAGAAAAGTTATGCCTTGCAAAAAAAGAAAGTAAGAAGTGTTTTTTATATATTTCTAAATATGAGTTTGTTAGGATTAAGAAAAAGGCACAACTTTTCTCCAATTAAATCATCTACAGGGTGTTCCATTTTCGTGCGTTTTGCAGTGTTCCTCGTTTATGAATGCCACATTTTCAATTTCGTCCTTTATTCCAGGAAAAAAAAGGCCAGGAGGAATCTGCGTGTAGCATCTTTAGTTTCATAAAAGAGTCGCATAGTAATGTGAAAACCGCATCTTTGTATCTCAACTCATAAACGAGAAACCCCATAAAACACACGAAAATGGGACACACTGTACATTGTTGTTATATTCAGTGCTTATTATCAGATAAATGATAAATTTCTTTAGGTACACTTTCTTGCAGTACCCATAGTATTTCAATTTTTTATTATTATGTTATTCTACAATAATTTATATTATAAATGATATTAAATGTGAATTTTCATTTTTGATTATTGCAATTGCTATTAATTATATTAGTTTAGAGATTACACATTTTGAGCAAAGTAAATAATAGTTATTTTTTATACAAGACGATAAAATGGTATTTTATCGTCTTGTTTGCAAGTTTACGATAATGCAATTTTATCGTCGTGTATAAAACAATATTTTTTTCCATAGGGAGTTACGTTTTAAAAAATATTCAGAAATTATTATTTCAAGGAATTTATTACGAGTAGAAAAATATTGTGCTGGGTTGGCGTTGGTTTCTATGTAATTTGACAAATAAATAAAGCTGTCTCTTTAGTTGTCAGTTTTGAGTCAATATTTTTTAATTCTCTTTCGTGTCGATTGCTGATTGAATTGGACCCAGAAATGGCTCAAAACGAAATAAGTAAATTACCAACAGATATTCAGGCTGAGGCAACAAACTCCATATCCAAACTACTTCCATTTAAATCCCGAATAACTTATGAAAAGGAATACAAAAATTTTCAAAAATGGAAGCAATTAAAAAAGGTGCGAGAAGAAATAAAGTTTTTAACCTATCCTAGCTCTTAAAGTATTATATTTAATCTACCCTTCCGGTTAAATTACTACTTTATCTACTATTTTTGATAGATATAAGGCAATTTTAACAGGTGCTACGGAAAAAAATATATTATATCCCTAGATCATATATACTTACGTGGATAAATCAACGCCATAAGTTTAGCATTAAAAAATATGTCCCCAACATCACGACATGCCATTTTCAAAACTTCTTAATTGCACTTATGAAACGTTCAATAGGTTTGTCTTTCTCGAGGACCTGACTTTACGCATGCGTATTAAAAGTGGCACGTATTTCCAAAATAATTACAATTTTATCCGGTTTAGAAAGTACAAATTATACATTGTTACGGAAACCAACTTTTCATTGTCATCATATTGTCATAATATATGTCATGATTTTCTAGCTAGGTATATTCTTTGGTCATGATCAGGGGCGGGAAAGTGAAATAGCAAAAGCGGTTCCACCGTTTCCACGGAAATCTCAAATAAAATAGTTCCAGCCCTAGCCACTAGGTGGTAGTGCAATTAATTTTTAGGTTAAGAAGTTGCTACTAGTTATTGCCAGATGGCGTTAAATCAGAATTTTTTTGTAGTTTCCATAGTTTCCAACGGCCATTGTCATATTATTGTCAAATTCTCAAAAAATATTGTCGTTGTCATAGCAACAATCATAATATTATCAAATAAATGATTATCAAAATGTTTTTCAAACTATAATTTGTTATATGTGTTTTAATTAGACAATTCCTTTTGTTTGTGGCCCTAAAAATATAATGTAAGTCTTTTATTCTTGCTTTCATTTAAGTACCTATTTATTATATTTACTCCATTTACAAAACTTTGGGCGTATTACGTCGGTCTTGTTTTATTATAATAAACGATGTTTAAATATTTGACTTATAAATAAAAACTTTAAATAATAAATAATATTTCACATGTTTGGCTTTAATTTTATTTAATAATCGTATAAATTATACTGTTAAATCTTATTTTTTACACATCACAACGATACTTGTTATTAGTATTGTTGAATTTGCGTAAAAAAATAGGATTTAATAATCAAATTTAATTATTTTAGAGTAAAATTCAATAAATAAGCTCATTTAAAAAGCCCGCGCTTCGACCCATTTAAAACAAGCCCTACTCAATAGATGGCGCCACTTCTGTAGGACCATTATTCAGTATGGCAGAGTCCATTCTTTTTCTAGCTAGGTATATTCTTTGGTCATTATCTTATTTTCATTGTGCAACGACGCTTGTTTTTTGCGTTTTTTATTTTAAACATTGTATTAATTACTCTTTTATCGACCGCTTTTATATAGCCAAGGATGCAAGTATGTTCAGTGAGAAGTTAATTTTAAGTTTGTGCAATTATATTTCTATTTTTTCGTTGGGTTTTAATTTTTGGGTAAATATTCGTAAAAATGACAAGAAAGTGTTTGGTGTGTGGAAATTACAATATAAATGTCTCCGAATTATCTTTTCAAAGGCAAGTAAAGTATTGAGTTGTACCCTTGGTTGTACTTTTATGTATATTAAACCACATGCATACTTTCTGGTTATATTTCCTAAGAATATTGATATTCGTACGGAGTGGATAATTTATTTTTAATATAATTTAATTTTTGTGACAGTAACATTCAATTATTGTTCAAATATATGCATTTTACAAATAAAATTTTTAAAATTAATGTTAAAATTTGGCGCGTGGGCGATAGGTCCTCGACAAGGATAGATAGAGTAGAAGCATCGCGTGTGCAACAGAAAAAGAAGATAAAGGCAAGTCGTTGATATGTTTGGGACAGTTTCCATGGTCATTTACTTATCCACGTAAGTATATATGATCTAGGATTATATCACAAAAGTGGTTATGAAAATAAGTAAGTCTATTAATATTACACGATGCATATTCTGTTAATTTACGTACTTTTATTGTATAAGACTATTTAAAAACTTGTCATATACATCGTCAAAAGTTTGTAGTCGCCCAACCATCAAAGTGATTTTTCTATTGTACTGAATATAGTACAAAAATCCATGGCTGGCATAAAAAACGCCATTTGGAGGGAGAAAATTGCATGGTTGGTGTATTTTAGCTAAAACAAATAGTTTCTTTTATTTATTTCGTTGTATTTTTTACCAGTTACATAAATAAAGAGAAAAAAGTTTTAGAAAAAAAGCATTTAATAAAAAGAAGCATTTTATTTAAGCTACATCAAATACTGATGGTAAATTATAACAAGTCTTGTATTGTAATAAAAATGTACGGTATTTTAAAATGCACTGATTTTTCCTATAAACTGTATTATATTTCCATGTCTGATTATGTATAGGTAAGGGTGATTGGCATTAAAAATTGCAGAAAAAGTACGATATGTTCGATCTTGGCTGCCTAAAACAAAATCCAACTCTGTCATTAAATACCAACACCAAGAATACATAGCCTTACATAGTGTTAAAACAAATATTAGACACTGTTTTGTTCTTATGGCATCTATCCATTTTAATATAACACTCAGATCTTAAAGCCCCCCACACACATAATGTTTTACCTGTCAGTCTTAGCTGTTCAGTCAAAACGTATCCAGTAAAACCTTGTGTGTAGTAAAAAAAGGTATTTTAGTAATTAATTTAGTTATACAGGGTGTTTCAAAACGAATGCGAAAAACTTCAGGGGGTGATTCCTTGTTCAAAATAAAGGGTAGTTAGCTTCATAAACGTTGGGTCAAAAGTCAACCATTAGGGAGATATCGCGGTACAAAGATGGCGGAAAAATAATGTTCTTATTTTTTATCTTGAAAACGAAAAGAGATAGACTAATGAAATTTTATGGAAGCATTACTGTTATGAAAACACACTTTCAGATAATTTTTTTACTTTTTTAAAATGAGTGGAAGGGGTTGAAATAAACTACCCCTATCATTCTTGTTAACGAAATTGAAAGAAAAATCTTATCAAACACATGCAAATGCTTTAATTTGGATAGTTTAGTTTGTTTAGAAACTTTTTTACCTCTTGTGTTTTTTTGATAAAACTCACCGATTGGAAATTAAAAAATAAAATGTAAAGCATTACATGTCAGGACAAAAAACATTTTCTGATAAAGAATCTAGTGGGCTGCTGTAATTTTTTTAGGAAAAAATCTAGTCGGCCGCTGTTACTTTTTAGGATGTTCCTAATATTATTTTATTTGACATTACTCTACTGCAATACGTTATTATCTAGATGATTATTATTATCGTTATTATCACTAGATTCTTAATCTAAAAATGTTTTTTGTCCTGACATGTAATGCTTTACATTTTATTTTTTAATTTCCAATCGGTGAGTTTTATCAAAAAAACACAAGAGGTAAAAAAGTTTCTAAACAAACTAAACTACCCAAATTAAAGCATTTGCATGTGTTTGATAAGATTTTTCTTTCAATTTCGTTAACAAGAATGATAGGAGTAGTTTATTTCAACCCCTTCCACTCATTTTAAAAAAGTAAAAAATTACCTGAAAGTGTGTTTTCATAACAGTAATGCTTCCATAAAATTTCATTAGTCTATCTCTTTTCGTTTTCAAGATAAAAAATAAAAACATTATTTTTCGGCCATCTTTGTACCGCGATATCTCCCTAATGGTTGACTTTTGACCCAACGTTTATAAAGCAAACTACCCTTTATTTTGAACAAGGAATCATCCCCTAAAGTTTTTCGCATTTGTTTTGAAACATCCTGTATAGGGGTAGGTATTATTCTTGCATTGTTTTGTTTTGAAGTATTTATTTATTTATTTTATAAATTGTTCATTGTTTTGTACAAGTAAGAATCCTAATATTATTAACAATAGATTTCATCACTGTTTCATCAGAGATTATTTTATTTGCCCAAATTTTCCACTATGGTTCAGTATAATCTCTTCTAAATTTTATTCAGATTTTCTTCCAACAAACAAAACTGTATTTCCCAATTTAATAAAGTAAATGTAGGGACGGTTTGCCTTAAAAATTATCGATTTTGGTCTGAGTTGTAGCGACATCCTTTTAAAATAAACTGAAACATAAATAAAAATAATCATTTAAATTTATTAATATACTTTAGATAATAATTACCCATCAAATATATTATCTTTAGTAATATACTTGAAATTCATGCTTAATTATTTTGCAATTTTAATTATAAATTCTTAAAACATGAACATTCGGTCCAAGCAGAGAAATGTAGCCTAAAACGTACCGCTTTGCGCAAAAGTTAAAAAAATACGAACTTTTTTGGACTGGGTGGTTGGTTTTATTAGTCTCTTATAAAACCTCTGAAGAGGGATAAGGGGACAAATAACTCACAATCTATAAGATGTTTATTTAAATTTAATTGCTTCAAAAAAAGCAGGGGGCGACATGTTTCGGGACTTAACAATTCCCATCTTCAGGCCCAGAAAGCTAAAATAATTACAATCAGAATAATAGAAATTCCAATAGTCACATAGAGATCAAAATTATAAAATACAATCACAAAACAAATTAAAAGGTTAAAATTTTTTTAAAAAGGCTAAAAAGTTAGTTCTATCACAATAATGGGCTCTTTCACTATATTTTGGAATTAGCATAATTGAATAAAGCAATTAATTCTAGAATTTTCTGCTATCTCACTTTCGAAAAATTTGAAGTCGTTCTTAAGAAAATAAATAAAAACAAAAAAGCCCAGAATAAAAATCCGCACTTTATTTTTAATACGTCACACCTGGCATGTTGAAAAGCGGCAACACGGCCGGGCCACCATGCTGACCCACCACCACCTCCACACAAGGCTATTCAACCTTTTCCAATATGGCGGAGATAGAAGTGCTTTATTTGGCGCGTATTTTAAAACCTGTTTTATTTCCGAATAGACATTTTTCACACAAATGTCGGGTTAGATTACGTAATATTTCACTAATTTTTTAATATACAGGGAGTCTAAAGCTCTCCATATAAGTATGGAATTTTTTGTATTATTACTTTTATGAAAACATCAGTTAGTTACTTTTTATAAAAAGGTCTGTTTTCTCAGAAAATAGGTAGGTAGTTTACTAGTGTGTAAATATTCAAACTTGAGGTAGCATATATAGGGTGTTCAAAATCATCGGAAAAAGAAATAACCAGAAATATATGACAGAAAATAGCAATATAAACTAAATATTCAATTGCAAACACTTACCTACCATAGTTTAGAATTTACTGCACGTTTGATAAATATATACTATTATGGACAGTATAGGAAGTTACTTGTCTTAGTAAAAGCCTTGGTAAATGCTCTTGGAATTATAAACTACACTGGCTTGGGTTAAAAAATATGGAATACTTTTCCTATGTTTAGCAGCATTACACAAATGGGAATAAATTTAAACTATAATAGGTGAGGATAACTAAAAAATATAATATGTGTTTCAAGATTTTATATAGAAAAAAACTAGATAAATACCTTTTTATAACCTTTTTATAACGACTTTTTTTGCATAGTTCTTCAATAAAATATTGGATATTCTGAACAAGATGGATTTAATAATAAATTCTGACGTATGTGAGGGGCAATTGTGACTTAAAAAAAGACTTACATCAAGGCAGGCCATTTATATTTTCAAATGTGAATGTTGTCAATATCTTTCTGTGATCTTTTTGATGTAAAAGCTTGATTATTCTTCCAATATTTTACTTATAGTGAGGTAAGTGTAAGCAGTAGCCATAACTACATCCTCACTAGGGTAACAGAGGCTTTGGCCTTTGGCCTTTTTGAGGCATATTTAATGCACTTCTTACCCGAGAACAACTAGTAGGAGTGAAATTATCTTTTTTAATAGTTGTCAACTATTTTTTACGAAGCTCGTCATTTTTGGGGAATATAAAAGCAGAAACCTTGGGACCCCCTCTATAATTCTCGTGACAATTTGGAACAGAGCATGTAAAAGGTATGCTACAATAAAATGTTAATACCTATCTTTTGATTATTGTAAGTAACTATTATAAAGTACTATGCAGACTGGCGGTGAAGGCATTTTACTCATTTAGGTGTAATATCTTCATAAATACTTCTAGTTCTTACCTTAAAATAATTAATAATAGAGGAGTACGACAAGCACAAAAGTTTGAAGTTCCCTATGTGGAATCAATCTGGTTTGGATTTTTATTACTGTTATTTTATCACAATTTTCTGATCACACCATGCACTGAACACTAAGAAATAAACAAACGTGTTGCAGAAGCACAACAAACTAGAGATAATTAATTATTTCTGGTATGCAATCGGAACGAGAAACCACTATCGGCTTTTCAGGTTAAAGGTAAACAATTTAATAATGCGCTGCCTTCGCCGCCATATTTGCCTTGCCCATATCATGTTGATTGGCCTCGAGTTGAGGTGGTGCTGGTCAAATCAAATCGCAATGTTGCCAGTTGTTGGCTGGCGCACGAGCACGGTTCTGCAATGTGATTGGGCGTATTTTTCATACGTCATCAATTGGCGCTTTAAATTTATTTCAAATTAAAGCAATTTTGAGGACCTATAAAAAAATTATTCAATGTCATGGAACTATTTTTTTTTGGATAAAATAACTGAAAATAGTCTTCTATTTCAGATTTTGTCCTTGAATTGGTTCATTCACAGATAACATTATGGCAAGCTCAATTTGAAAATGAAAACAACAAAATTAAAATCGTAAACGGCAGTAATTTAAGTACTACAAAACGAAAAAACGACAAAAAATTCAAAAACTTTCCAGGTGAGGGGAGCCGTATAATCCACTGTAATTAGTTTAAATGACACAAAAAAAAACAAAATAAGAAAATAATTATATCATACTTCAATGCACAATTCAAATAAATTTACTTACACATTAGTCAAATGTATTTTGTAGGATAAATTTTATGTATTTAGTTATGTTAGTTAGGAGTAAGTTAAGAATTATGATTATTTTAATTTGTATATGTAGAAATTTTATTTTTATTTTAATTTAATTAAACTTATGCTATTTACAATAAAAGCATACCCACACAATTGTCAACCTATTTGTCCCCTTACCCCTCTTCAGAGGTTTTACTTTGATAATATGTACCCAAACTGGGTTGGAGAACGTTTGG